ACTGCGGTTTTACTGCTTTCGTCTCTGCATCGAATGCTTCCGAAATAGTTATGTTGGCCATCGTTACTGGTGTCTGGGGTAGTGAAGTAACAAGCGTTGATGTTTTGGGAGTTGAGATTTCAGTAGGTATCAGTTGATTATCTAACTCTTCTACTTCCTTTTTGAGATTAGACAGTTTCTGGGTGATACTTAAGCTTGTTAACGAGTCTTCTTTCTGAAGGGCAGTTAGATCGTCCTCCCAGAAGCTGACGGTACCCTGTTCCTGCTCACCCGCAAGGGATATATTACTATACTCTGTTTTTAAACTAAGAGGAGCGATTTGAATTTAAGTTGGCAATTCTGTAGCCTTCTGATTGGTCAGACTACAGTCAGTTTCACACATTACTTTTTAGCATGAACATCAGCTAATAATTGATATTGTTGACAGTTTTGACATTTTATAATTTGATATCTCATCCATTACTTAGTTTTTACTTTATTTCGTAAATAATAGTTCTTCAGTAAGCAATTGTATTGAAAATCTACAATTATGGATCCTTCTACACTGAGTACTATTAAAGGTAGCAATTCCTGAAAAGCCTAACAAGAAAGAGAAGAAACCTTATTATTTTACAAGCTGATTCTGAAGGTTTTGTAGAAAATGCATTATTGGTTTTTGAAGGTAAAAAGATGGGAGATTACCATGAAGAAATGAATTCCGAAGTATTTTAGAAAAAAATAATTTTATTACTGATTTTTTAAAACTAAAAATTGATGAATTTCTAACCAAAATGATTAAAATGTAACTAAATATTCAAGCAAATTTTATTTATTAGAATAGAATAAAACTATTTACAAAATTGTTATAACATTTAAAACACCATCTACTACTTTAGGGATAATCTTAATTTGGCACAATGAGTTAACATTATTTTCACAAAAAATATTTTAAAAATACTTAAAACATAGGTATGTATGAATAGTTCACTTTAAAAAATATATGTTGACATGTAGTGTTATGAAAATGTTGGTTCCAGTTTTCAAAACAAATTCTGACTCATAGGCCTGTAAACTTTTGAATGCCTTTATTCGCCCTCTAGCGCATTAACCATGGGTTAACACTAAATAAGCCATAATATCCACATTACTCATAGAAGAGATACCAGTTACTGTGTGATCCACTTGTCATTCACTGATTAACTTTTACTTGTTATACCTATAACAAATATATCCTTAAAAATGTAAACAGATCTTTATATTTTATACTAACCTGGCTACATCTGGATATTCCATTAACAATTTTCTTAAATATTTATTATTCATTTTAAAAAGATCATAGTTATTCTCAAAAAGTCGATTTCAAAAGCAAGAAAAAAGTATTTCTGACATCAATCAACAACCATATTGACTTTAATTTGACAGTGACATTTCGTTTTAGACACACATTTCAGATCACAATAATGTGAAATTTGCGACCGTTGTCTGGGACCAATTAAAAAATTACTTCTATGACATTTATTCGTTTCTTAACCGCTCATTGGCCGTTCACCGACTAAGGCCGATAAAGATAATTATTTCATACATTTTGAACACGACTATATTTCGAAACTCGCTCTTAGTAACAAATCTAGTTACTTTTCCCTGTGTAAATGCGTCTTTTCAATTCGCTCCTCTTAGTTTAAAAACAGAGTATAAGGTCCCTGACAGGAGAACGTTCTAATATTGAAGAACGAGCAAAAGGATTGTTGTCTTCTGTAGCTGAAGTGCTACTTCGTGCGCTTGGTTTAAATATGAGATTAAACTTTGTATCCGCTTTAGCTTTATCACTCCGTAAAAATGGCTTATCGCCCGGCATTAATAACGCAGAGTTGTACGATATTTAAAAGTAAATATATACTCACTTTAATAAAAAAAATAATTGTATATTTATATAATGGAAGTCAAACAACAATAAACTATAAATTTTAAATGCAAGCAAATTATACTTATTTCATATTTCTCAAAAATAACTCACACCTAATAAATAAACCATTGTTTTAATTAATTAAACCCTAAACTCTATATATATCCTAGGGCATTATACTTTTTTCTTTTTTATTATTATTATTTTGCTCCTCTCTCACCTATGGATGCAATTTAAAAAAAAATAACTACGCTGAAAAAACCTTTGATCCTAAGAATAATAATTATTTTTACTCCCCAAATATATTTTATTTATTTCGATGAAATTCATAGATAGCCATAAATAATTTAAAAATTCATTTTTCAGGAAATCAAAAATAATTTTTATCATTTTTTATTTCCATGGAAAACAGAATAATTAAAACCAATAAATCAAATACGTATCACATTCGCAGCCTATGTAACTAGGTCAAGTTTATTAACCTGGGTATAATGTTACACTGGAAATGAACTTTTGTCACCTTTTATCACGTAATAAATTTTAACTATTTTGCAAAAACGTTTAATTAATAGATTATCAAATTAAATTCATAATTGTGGAAAATGTAATCTCCCTTTTTTTTTAGATATTACTATAATCACATTATCTTAACAAAAAAAAAAAAAGAGGAAAGAAAGAAAAAACTCATGTAGACCAGTTAAAGGAAATTAAAAAAAAAATTAGTAATGCCCATCTGAATTTAAGTAATATCTGAAACATTCAAGTAGTCAGTGGCGTCAATTAATATATTTTCGGTTTATTAATTATATAAAAACAACTACACAAAAAGGGAAAACCGGCGCCTCCACCACATGCTACGGGGTGTTTTATTAACCCTGTCAGCGCAGCCACTAACTACCAGAAAGGGTTGGAGGAGAACACAGAAAAATAAGAACACTTATAAAAAAAAACCAATTATATTTTCCACTATCAAAAATATAGACATAATAAAATAAACAATCTACTTACATTCTTTTGAGGGCACCCTTTGTTCACTGGTTAGACACAACCTAACTTTTTTATCTAATTTAACTTAACCCCCTAGGCCGACGCCCCAAGCCAGCATGACCCCGTATCCATTCTTTTCTCACATTCCCCACCGGTGTTTTTCATATTCACCAATTGTTTAGATAATAATAAATTGCTGATAATTAAAATATTTTGTTAGATGGATTTTATAATATACTGGGCGTCATTTAATTAATTTATTTATTTAGATATTTATTAATTATTTTATAACGTAACAATATATTTATGTTTTGTGTTTTATTTATTGGATGGAGGTCCCCACTAACTAATTTTAGATAGATGTCCTAAAAAAAAGTCATCATCCAAAAATATTGCGGCCCGTGTAACATAGCACATATACGAATGTGAAATTCCTCTTCAGATGTACAGCCTACAAATATTGCAATAATTACTCATGAATTTCTAATTTTGTAAGTATTAGCTTTTGTTAGTAAAAAATTAAACAAAAAATGACTCCAGAGAGCAGGAATTGTTTTAATAATTTTTTATATTTCAAAAACTTCAAGAAACTTTTCCTAGAACAAAATATCAAAAATTGGTATTCTGTTATTAGAGCCTATTTATGAAAAATGGCATAGACTTAACATATGTGAGTCCACCCTGCTAGATTAATTAAATAATTACTCAGTTGCCATAATATTTGAGATTCAGCTACAACGGTGAGTCACTGGTGATACAGACAGACCTCTATTATTTACAGTTTGTAATTACTCTTCAATAAAAGGTAAAATAATATTTTGAACTGTATCTCTGGAAAATATATATCGAGACAAGCTCGTTCTGAATGCCTTTCAAATGGATTGTCTCAGTCTCTTATTTAACGTTTAGGGAACCTGATATGAGGAACCATTTCATTATCCACTAATAATAATAATAATAATAATAATACTCTCCCTAATTCACCCCCTTACGAGTGAATTTCAACCCCTGAAGTCGACTGAACGACTTGTGTAGGGGAAGGGACGGCTATTATTATTATTATTTGCCGTGGCGCTCCGGGGCGACTTAAAGATGATTGATGGTGCCATTTGACTTACAGGTGAGGAAAACCCGGAAAACCTCACCCACCATCATCGAGACGGTAATGTATGGCGAATTTTTTTAATCTGCATGTCATATCAACAGAAATTGAATTTCTATTAATACGCCACACATCAAATCCTAAACCGAACCATGCAATTTAATTAAAAATCCACATGGTCTGGTCTGGGATTCGAAACCCAGCAGTCTCAGACTCATAAACTTGCCTATAAATGAATATAAGCGCGATAGACCGCTACACCACCGTCCCGATAAGTCTACACATAATCTATACTCTTTTCAAAATCATCCATTTTGTAATAAAATTCAAACAAATGACAGCACAAACCAATCTCAAAACCACCACAAATTCTATATTTTATCGGTGAAGGATGATGCCTTATAGGGATCTTAAGGAATCCCTAAGGGTTTCTTGGACTATAAAATACATTTTGCTCCTAAGGAGGGCTCAAAGGGCCAAGAACGCCTCGAGGCTCGACTATAAAAATTTCACCCGACATCTCTGCCCTGTAGCGTCAGTATGTAATTTTAAAATATTGTTCAATTTAGACATAGCATAAGAACTAGTTCTTCATATAACGGATTAGATTTGTAATTGTAACTTTGTAAGTTAATAAGTATTAAATTTGGAACTGAATACATTTTTTAAAAAATAATTTTCTAAAAAATATTAATTTAAATAGAACTTGTTCTGTAAGTACTTTAATCTTTTAGAGTTCTGTTTTCCTTCTAAGAACACATTAATCTATTATATTGTATACCTGATAAAAAATAGATGTGACACAGATTTTGTGATTGTAATAATATTCTTATTGAGTTTGGGTAATTGGATAACATTTGAACTAATTCATAATATTTCTTCACTGAATATTTTTTGTTCTGGTGGAAATAAAGTAGGTACCTAATGAAAATATCCTAAATTTAGATATTTTCTTATTAGTAAATAATTATTTTAAAACATTAAGATGTCTTGTTAGTACAACAGGTTTATATCAAAATATTCTACGCCATTTTTTTTGTTCAATAACATTAACATTTATTTATTGTCAGATAATGCCGCAACTCCTGGGAGTACTTTTCCCTCCAAAAGTTCTAGACTGGCACCACCTCCTGTCGATACATGCGAAACTAAATTCTCTGTGTTCCACTTCGCTGCGCAAGTTGCAGTATCACCTCCACCAATAATTGTAATCGCTCCTCTTTGGGTGGCTTGAACAACTTCGTCCATAATTGCTTTAGTGCCTGCAGCAAATTTGTCCCATTCAAAAACTCCTGCTGGTCCGTTCCAGACAATAACCTTTGCACGTTTAATAGGTGCTCTAAATTGACATATTGATTGTGCACCTATATCTAGTCCCAACCACCCTTCTGGAATCCCTTGCTTAATTGTTGAACAACTTGAATTAGCGTTTTCGCTAAACCCATCGGCTATTATAAAGTCAACAGGTAAATGAATTTGTACACCTTTTGCTTGAGCTTTATCTAACAATTTGTTGACAATTTTGGCTCCCTCCTTGTCGAATAATGATGCACCAATTTCCATTCCAGAACTTTCTTTGAGAAATGTATAAGCCATACCGCCACCAATGATCATTTCGTTTACTTTGTCTAACAGATTTTCAATCAGTTGAATTTTATCAGCTACTTTAGCACCTCCCAAAATAGCCAAAAAAGGTTTCTCAGGATTGTCTAATGCCTTAGCAAAGTATTGAAGTTCTTTTTTTAATAAAAACCCTGCGGCTCGCTGTGAGAACCCTTCGCCCATCATGGAAGAATGAGCTCGGTGGGCAGTTCCGAATGCATCGTTAATATATAAATCTCCTAGTCTCCGCAGGCTCTGTCTAAACTCTTGAACTTCCTCTGGGGTTGCTTTAGCTTTGTTACCAGTAGCATCTTTACCTTTACCTTCCTCTTCCAAGTGGAAGCGAAGATTTTCCAATAAAATAATAGAACCTGGTGCAGGATTTGCGCAGGCCTTTTCTACTTCTGGTCCTACACAATCTGGTAGAAATATAACTGTCTTCTTTAGCAACTTTTCCAATTCAGCTTGAACAGGTTTCATAGAATATTTTGGATTTGGTGATCCATCGGGTCGACCCAAATGGGACATAAGAACTACACTTTTAGCTCCCTTCTCTATAGCATATTTAACAGTATCCATGGCGGCTACAATTCTTTGATTATTTGTAATTTTTCCGTCCTTCAGAGGCACATTGAAATCTACTCTCATTAATAACCTTTGATTTTGTAAATTTAATTTATCAATAGCAAGTTTGTTTAATGCCATTTTACTTAATGATAATCTTCAAAAATAAACTGAAAATTTTTACCACTGTCAATATTTTGAAAATTGGTGAGTTATTTGACATAGTTCGTCATTTTGTTTATTAAACCACTCGTAAACTATGTATAGGTACCTATAACCTATACTATTCATCTGCCAAGTCTACTGTATTAAAAAAAGAATTCATGCTAAAATAGGATTTTAAAAAGAAAATGTACTACGAAAATGTAGACACAAACAGATCGGAAGCCTATATCTGCCTGAGCAAGAACAGGTTACGCATTGTAATAGAGATCTTTACCGGGCATTGCCGACTCAAAGGACACCTTATAGTAAAATTCGAGCGAATTTCGAAACGTCGGCTGGGCGCGTCCTTTTTTCACCTACACCACGTCATTGTATAAAGACCACGTTCATCCCACCCACCTCTTAACCACTACAGAAGAGAAGAGAGCGAGCGCGCCCTTTTTACACCTACACCACAAGCGCTAGCTATTCTCGTCCTATTCACTACCTAACTATCTACTACATAAGCCAGCACAATAGGGATATATTGTGGAAGCCAGCTAGTGAAGCAGATATGTGAAAAGGGTGTGTTCGCTTGTTCTTTCCTGTAGTTGTCAGGATACACGTGAGACGAGCAAAGCATGCTCAATGAACTGGAGTGGGGTAGAATGCTTGTCAATAGGCTTGAGATGCGACCAATGAGCTGGAGGGGGGTAGAATGCCAATGTACATGTTGTACTATTAGAACTAGGTGCGACTCTATGGGCGCAGCCATTTTTATTGTTCATCTCACTCGGGACTATTTATGATAACCATTTTCTGTTTTACATTGTTATTGTTCAATCCACAAGCTGTCGCACATCAAGTCTATTGACAAGCATTATACCCCACTCCAGTTCATTGGATGCACATACTTTGATTACTATACGAGGCAAGAGAGAGGTCCGACACGCCCAACATAGGGCGCGGCCATTTTGAACCCTGTGACACAGTTTACAGCTAAAGAATCAGATCGCTCACTCTGCGTCGGCACTTTTGATCTCAATGTTTCAGATTATACACTGTGCAACTCGGATAATACAATATATGACAACCGCCTACAATAAAACAGCAGTCTTCTGCGTATCCTGAATTTGTATCCCTGGAGTGGATGTTATTTTGAAACTTTTAACTGGTCCGAGTGAGCTAACTGATTCTTTAGCAATAAACTGTGACTCCAAAAATAATATTCACTCATTGCGTTCGGTTTGCCACGTTCCTTTAACTCCTTTAACACTTTTAACTCCAAACGACTCTTTTAGCGTTCGGTTTAGTCCGATTAGTGACAGTTTAACACGCTTAAATGTCACCCTAAAATATGTCCCACTCCAGCCCCTGACTATCCGAACTCGCCTACTGACACTGACAGCAGCAAGCAAAATATCAGGTGCGTTTTAATCATCCGCTTCTGCTTCCGGAATTGTCGGTTTAGTCGTTTTAACCTGTCAGATTATAACAAGAAAACCGACAATTCCGAAGCAGAAGCGGATGATTGAAACCAAAGAAGTAGAGAGGGTAGAACGATAAAGTACCGTCTGCGCATCCATTACGAGTGTAGACATTATGCGTGATTCAACCTTCCACTCTTATACATGTAAATAACAAGGAGAGGTTGCCCTAAAGCACTGTAAACAAATTCCAGGATTGGCTCTGTTCAGCGATTATGTTCATGTTCAGCTCTATTTTTTGTTTGTTTTGTGGCTGTTGTAAGCTTTTTTGCCGTCAATTCTTTGTTATCTTGCGTATATTTGTGATTTTTTGTGCTTTTATTTCAATTTAGTATTAAATTATACTTGTTAATTATTTTCCGATGCACTATTTTATAGTTGTTGCACAAAATGTTGTTAAACCGTCCCTGAATCTTGTTTACAAAATGTGCAAAACGAAATTGTGCATAGTGTCTAGACTTTTTCATTGACAGTTATCATTCTACTCCTCTCCACTTCATTGATTAAAACGCACCTAATAAAAATATTGCGCCAAGATGTAGGCAACACGTAATAAGGGTTCAAAATGGCGGAGTTTTCTATCTCCTTTTAAAAGGCACTCAGAAAGCTGCGCAGTGCGACCATTCTCCGTATAGTAAAAGAAAATCAAAGTATGTGATTGGATGCGACTCTATGGGCGAAGACAGGTTATTTTTCATCTCACTCGGAAGTATTTATAACAACTATTTTCTATTTCACTTTGTTATTGTCTGATCCACCAGCTTGTTGATTGAACAATAACAATGTGAAACAGAAAATGGTTTTTATAAATACTCCCGAGTGAGATGAGAAATAAAAATGGCTGCGCCCATAGAGTCGCATCTTGTTCTATTGATACAATATGCACATTGGCTTTCTACCCCACTCCAGTTCATTGAGCATGCTCTTATGATGTTGGTGGAAAAGGAGACGCCCGACCGTCGTTTTCGAAATTCGTTTAAGCTCTAAGGTGGGCGCGCTCCGCGCGCTTGCTTGTGGTTAGGTGAGAAAAGCAAAGCGCTCTTATGGTGTGTTAACACAAAGTAATTATGTTTAAAAGTTTTCGAAAAGTACATGATTACTTTATTGATTATTTATTTATAAATTTATATATTAATATTTAATTATTATGTACCACTAGGCATGGGCGTCGTTACACAATTCTATAGGGAGGGGCAAAATTTTGAAAAATTTAGAACGTGTTTATTTGTTGGAAAATAAAGAAAATAAAAAATAAAAGAGCAATTCAAATTAACAAAAGTAGAGCATATTGTCTTTCTTAATGCTGTTTTTATAAGTTAAATTAAAATATATTTTATGTAATTTTTTTCTTTTTTATTTTAATACGATCCTGTCTATCAATACCATATTTTATTACAAAATTTTTAAATACGCTTTAATCCGACCCTGACTAAGACCCCCGAATGGCGTCGCCAAGGTCAAATTTTCTTATAGCTGATTCGACTCAAATGCTCTTGTTTGATGACGAAGCGCTTTTAGTTCTGAATTGATTTTGGGCAGCATTTTTATAATTTATAGCGGATTCGACTGGCTGCATTAATGCGCATTTAATTCGACTTTTTTAAGTGGTGTTTGTTCGACTGACAGAACCTAATTAGTTAAATGCCAATTATTGCATTCGACTGAAATTGCTCGGTACCAAGGCATAGTGAAATTTTTGTTCGACTGGCAGTCGCTCTTGCTCAAAGTTCGAATTTTTTGGAACTGTACTTTTTTTCAGTGCCAGTGTCATTTTGGAGGTTAGGGATTATTTAATATTTTTAAATATATTACCATCTTTCTCTTTATTATTAGTGATAATGGAAAATCTTTGAAATTAATAGAGATATAATTTTTGGTTTGGCAACTATAAATAAATATCCTTAAAAATTTGTTAGAAATCTGAAATGTCAAGTGCTAACTGTGCCAGTCGAATAACGATAGAGACGCGCTACACCAATGTCGAACTCTAGCTCTTGCTTGCTGTGTGCACTGCTAGATATAAATTTGAATTATAAAAATGCTGCCCAAAATCAATTCAGAACCGAAAGCGCTTTGTCATCGAGCAAGAGCATTTGAGTCGAATCCGCTATTAAATTTTTATCTAGCAGTGCACACAGCAAGCACGAGCTAGAGTTCCACATTGGTGTAGTGCATCTTTATCGTTATTCGACTGGCACAGTTAGCACTTGACATTTCAGGTTTATAACAAATTTTTAACGACATTTGTAGTTGCCAAACCAAAAATCTCTATTAATTTCAAAGATTTTCCATTCTCACTAATATTAAAAACAAAGATGGTAATATATTTAAAAATATTAAATAATTCCTAACCTCCAAAATGACACTGGCACTGAAAAAAAGTTCAGTTCCAAAAAATTCGAACTTTGAGCGAGATTGCCTGCCAGTAGAACAAAAATTTCACTATGCCTTGGTACCGAGTAATTTGAGTCGAATGCAATAATTTACTTTTAATTAATTAGGTTCTGCCAGTCGAACAGACAGCACTTAAAAAAGTCGAAGTAAATGCGCATTAATGCAGCCAGTCGAATCAGTAATTAGTATAATATTTGTATGCGATCAGCGGCAAGTGAGCCTGCCGATTGTTTCTTATGCCGTGATTTACTGGTTAGATACGCCCTCTACGTCAGATGTTAGAACTTTATAAGTGACAATTCCGTCAAATTAATTGTCAATATATATTTTTTTAGTTATTTAGGATTAAATATAATTGAAAATTAGTGATTCTTGTGAAGAATCAATAAATAATAGCATTCCACTAGATATTCGTCTATATTTAAAAATAAACTGAGATTTTAATGAAACTAAAAGCAATCTGATTATCAGCGTTAAAAAGTAAAACTTTTATGTCGACTGTAACTATTTTTAAATGCCAGCCCCCACATCCGATCTATGAAGATTAAAGTCGAAATTTTCTTTAAATTTAAATTTATTTCAAAAAAATTGTAATTTTTGGTTTTTATGTATAAAAAATCGTAGACTTCAACTGTTTTATTTAAAAAGTTCTAACTTAATTTTTTGGGGATGCCACCCTCACCATATCAGATAGGGGTGGGGAGGGGTGAATTTTTTTAAAGCGATTTTTATTTTTATGGGATAATACATCCATTTAGTTTCAATATTTCGATCCTAAATGCCCTATCCCCCAGAGCCGAACCCCAACCAATAATCTTTATAGAACCCATTGTGTTTACTTCAATATTAAAAATTCATTTATATTATTTACCAACCATTTTAAGGGTTTTTTTAATTACATTGTTACGCACCAGTTTAAAGAAATAACCTGTTGTTTATAATTACTTATGCTAAGTACTTAGGTAGGTACTTAGGTAGGTACCTTACCTACCTACCTATTTAAATTAAAAATACAATTTTTTTCAACACTTAAGAAATGTATTATTATTGCTATTATTAATATTATATAATTTATTTTAAATTAATTCGGATAAAACCTGTAAAGGAAAAGAAAAACAACAGCATATTTTCTATTTTATTAATTTCAAAACAGATATAAATACACAAATTTTTAATTCTAATTTTAAAACATTAATTAATAGTTAACTAATTTATATCATAATATATCATTAAGAATGGGACATAGTACAACTAAAGGTTATCTGATTAAAAATAAAACTATTAAACGAAATATGCTTAGAAAAAAATACCTGTTTTCGAAATGCAGGGTGTTAAAGTTGAAAATTCAAAAATTATTAATGGCTATAATATTTTTACTTTTCAGTATCATTTTACTGAATTCGGTAAACATTTTTGACACTTTCCAAAAACTAATTTAAACTATAATTTAATTTTTTTTATATAAATCATGTAGGTACTCTTGTTGGGAACTCGTCCTTTATTAACAGTAAAATAATTCAGTAATAAAACATAAACACAACTCATTCACAATACCTACTACCTGTAAACGCACTAACAACGCACAATAACAAACATTAAATAGAAAATAGTCCAAATAATGAAATCACGAGTGAATGAAATTTCATCCAAGAGCTAAAAATAGAAATCCATCGATCGGTCTCCGTCATTCACTAAAATTTCAGGTGGACCCTCAACTCCGCCCACTGCAAACGAATATCGACTTATCCATATTCACTAGCGCCATCTATTGGTAGTATCCATTTCGCTCCAATGAAACTTCCATAAGGTGAGACTACTATTAGTTCTTTATACAATGGCCGAATATAATAGGAGGTTTTATATGTACTCCAACAAAAACATCTAAGAAAGAAATATCACAGCGGTGTTTGACCTAAAAGTTAGGATATTTAATTTTTTTAACGCATATCTACAAAACATATTTATTTTTCAAACCTTAATAATTTGTAAAATGTAGATTAATAAAGACATTGTCGTAATAAATACGTAAAGTCAATATTTTTTTTTTAAATAAATTATTGCTTTGATTTTTCAAATGAAATCCTCTATAAATTGTCCCAAAAATTGCTTTTCATATTTAACATACGTTATTTTTTAACGTCCGTTAAATTTTAACATATTCGTTATAGAATTACCACTTAAAAGTGTAAAAAAACACTTGTGAAAATATTAAAGTTTTGTGTATATACAAATTGTACCGTTATCTTTAAATAAATCAAATGTGTTGCATGTAACTTGCATCTTGCACCCATAATTATTTTTCTGCCGTATTGTAAATTGTAAGTTGTAAGAGGTAAGGTAAGTTAAAAATCGGAACGCAATAATTATAAATGTCATATTTATGTCTATCAAAGTCATTTTTCATTTGACATTTATTTGAGTGATTTGATGAGGTTATGTGTTGAAGTTTGATTTGTTTTGTCCATGGTGTAATGTTTTGTCCTAAGATAAACGCTGTTTGGTGAATTCAAACCACGGTGTACTATAAGGTGTATCAACTCCTATTTAAAAACAAATGAAAACGGCGATAAAACCGATCGTACTTCCTAGCCAAAATCCGCTAGGTTCGCTAGTATCTATCCGGCGAGAAAGTAAATAAAAGATGAAGGTTGGTAGGAGCTGCAATTTGAAAAGTGTTGACAGATAAATATTTTTTAAAATCTTAAAATATATAAATCATGGTGGATCGTTGAGCTGTTTTTAATTGTGATTGTGGGAGAGTCTTCAACATATTGATAGCAGTTTTATAATGCCAAAAAACAGTTATACAGAATATGGTGCAATTATTTAGGTGGTATGGAAATAAACATCCGTGAAAAAGTGCTAAGAAATCTACTAGGAAACGTTATTTTTCAAGTAAATATGTTTAATGTCTACGTTTTAAATGATTGTAGGTTATGTAAATAGGTTATTCAACTTTGTCTTTTCTATAATAAAAATAATTATTAGTATAAAGTTTTACTATATAAATATTTCGTATTATTTATCCTGTCCCCTTGGTACTAATAATGTTATGACTTGGACCCTATTATAATGTGTTCATGGTATAAATTTCATATACACAAGGTACCTATTTCTTTTGATATTTTTCTGACCCTGCGAATAAGTATTTTTAAGTGTTCAAATATACATTTGTTTAATAATAATCATCCCCGAATGTGTTTTGTTCCAGTTCTTTAAATGTATTTACTAGGTTTTTATAGCAGTACTGATTTTAAATTAATACAAATTTGAGTTGTAAGAAATATTAAGGATTTTTTAATTCTGTATTTTTATAGGAGTTAATCCCTAAATAAATGTAGTTTGGGGTCGTAGATGTTGGTATTTGTGTATTGAATAATGTGTACATACACTGGTTAATAATTTAAACAATGTTTTTTCTGATGTACCTAATAATTATTTAAGGTTATCTTGTAGTTGACGAGTCTAGAAATCCGCATATTCAAACCATTCCGCACTGAAGTCTAGAATTTGACACAAATTTGAAGTTAAAAATAACGATCCTATTACTTGAAAATCTACAGATTCTTTTTATTTTTAATCAATGTAAAAATTGGTAAATACATGATAAAAAGTAAAAGTTATTTCAATATGCTTATTCCCTGGTTCCAAATAATTAAATATAACCTTGCAACTATATGTTAGGATTCCAACTATCGGAACAAGAATGGTGCATTTCCAGACCCTTCAATTATAAGATTACCATTATTTAATGTGCAGTGCAAATATAAAAAAAACTACCTAAAAAATGCTGTTCCTGCTTTTATTACTTATGATGGGACTACTTCTCAAAGGAGACGAGAATGTGGAAAGTATTGCTGATACAGTTACCGAAGTTATCCACTGGAGGTGAAGTGTTAATCTTTTAGGAATATAGGAAATATTTTTTTATACCTAACAACTTAATATTTATTTATTGATAAGTTATAGATACTATGTATTTGAAATTCAGAGTAATCATTATGACAGCAGCATTCTTATTGTATTCGGATTCTAACACAAATAAAACATTCATTAAATTTTTGTTAAAATTATTAATTTATTAATTTTACACTAATAAGAAAATTAACAATACACACAAAATTATTTAAAATTAGAAATAAATACAATTTACACATTTCCCATTATTACACTTATTTTCTTAATTTATTCATTTCTTATATTAACAATTTCAATTAATAATATAGTTCATTATTTAATTGGAACTCATTTTATAATTTTACTAATTATTTTTTTATATTTATTTGTGGAAAATGAAATATTAAATAAAAGCATAGGAATTGTTCTATTGGATAATAGCAGTAATGAAAAAATAAGTAGGAAAATTTCAAATGTATAGTTTCCAGATTTATTATGAGTTTTTTATATTAATGTACTCAATAAGTAGGTTTATTATGTTCGCTTGTACACGTCACAGTTAGCAGCAGACAGTAACAAACCTGACAACACTTCTGATTTCAGAAAAACATTACAACAATTTGTTTTACATTATATATTTCAATAATATAATAATCATTTATATTTAATTAATGACAAGGTTTACTTTTTAAATAAAACTATATGAGCCCTGTCCCGTTTCAATTAGCACACTTCTCATATTTATAGTGACTGTCACTACAAGAACAAATCATACATAAATCTGATAAATTCTTTTTTTTTTAACCCTTTCACTTCCACTTTCATTAAAAAAAATACCATTGTAGTAGATTGTATGTTTTCTTTGTTTATTTTAAGTAAATTAAAATATTTTCATAGTATTTTTTATTACTCCAAGACATAACGTCCCTGTTCAGGGACATTACAAAAACAAAAATTTACTATGAAAATAATTTTTTTTAAATATTAATCCTTGAAAGTAATGCAAATAAAGTAAATAAACCAAAAAGAAAAACATTCTACCAAAATTAACAGGGTTAATTAAGACAGTGTCCCTCTGGAGGGACAAATACACTGAAAGGGTTAAATATTTACAAATTTTCATGAGTGTTTCATCACCTTTAACTTTGATAACGGCAATAATTCATTAAAACATTGTATTTACAAGTTCTTGAAAATCTTGTGCAGGGAACCTACTCCATATTTTTAGATTACCCATTTGAATTAATTCTGGCAGTGATCTTGTGGGTGCTGCACGCCTCTGCTTAAAAATTATCACCCCATATACAAAAAAGCATCTTTATTAAATGAACAAGAAACTAAAAAAAAATAAGCATTATTAAAAACTACAAAAAGTGCATCATTTGAAAATCCATATTCAAGCTCCAGATTTGTAAAATTAAAAAAAATCCAAATACACATTTAACTTGTTCGATTATTTATTGAATAAAAGGTCTGTTCCAATGATCAGAAACGAACCACTGGGTAGTACACAATTTTGCAGTCTCAATAAACTACTGTGCAGAATCCTGATGTCAGTAACTCATTTCTGAGCATTGTTGGAACAAACCTAAAGTAAATCGAAACCACTTAAAAACAAGCACAACATTTATACTCGAGCAAATTTTTAATTCCTATCAAAATTTTTAATTACTGAATATTTTGTTCTAGTTATATTAAAATTTAAAAGTTCTTACTCTTCATTATAATTATATTTTTTATTTTCCCTATATACCTACATACTATCTCTAACATTTTACAAATTTGATGCCTAATTAAAGATTTCATCTAGCATTGCAGAACGAAAAATGTTTTTCACATTTGTATAAATCTTCTACATCTGTCATATTAGGATAACAAGATTGTATCTAGACAGGTAGTTATTTTTTGGAGTTGAAGTTTGTATAGCCATTAACTTGTTTGATTTTCATTGTGTTTCTAACTCTAATTTAAGAGAAAATCTTAAGTGATAAAAAATGCAGAAAGAACTAAGCGACCTACATTTTTTAGAATATTTGATAAAGCATAGTAGTAACTGCCAGTTAAAACTGTGTTTCTAGTATTTAGTTTAGGTAACAGAGACAAAGCTTGGAACAAAAAATACATACTTTTGTTAATTCAGAATTTTTAAATGTTGTTTTATATTATAAATCTTTCTAGGTATCCTCTATCATTTTTTTTATAATTTTCAATCAAAACTGTTTAAAAACAAAAAGTTTAATAAAAAAATACCCATTATATTTAATACTGTTTATGCTCTAAAACTCACTGTTCTTTTAATGGCAGATTTTTTAACCTCTGAGTAAAGTTACGCATAAGTATAATCTATAGCCTAATCAGCAAGTAGTTACTTTCAACTTTATTCAGAGGTAAAAACCTGGCCTTTAATCTTAATATAATTGTGGAGGATGGAGACTACATTTGCTAGGGATTAGGGAATAACAAAGATATAACTACTATAATGACACTTGCTAAAAACTGTATAAGTTCTATGTACCTGCAGATAGAACCATGTGAATAACTTTAGTGCTTCGATAACACAACATTGATAATTAACAGATGAACATATTGGTCACAAAAACAAATTAATTAATATATTCTACCAATCTCATTTTTTCCAAAAAGTACAGTTACAACCTTGTTATTCTTTGAGATGTATTTATTACTGATGCTTATTAATAAAAATAATAATAATTGATATAGGTACTTACTGATCTTTGGAAACATATATACTCCAGTCCAGTGAGACTTCATTATTCTGGTATAATGCTATTTCACAGAAATGTTTGTAATTCCAATCACTATGTATGGATTTGATTATAGTAGGTATAAAACTAAATGTTTATTGAATATCTTTAATCTGGGCAATGAAAATCACAAAACTCACTTTAAAAATAATAAGCTTCAATCTGAGTACCATAGTTAAGGTCCACTTCTTCATTTTATAATCAGTAACCCACTGTATTGCTGTTTTTGCCAAAGCCAAAGGTAATATTTGAACACAAAACAAAATCAGCTGTTTTTTATAAACACCCCTATTTCACTTATTTAGTAGCAAGTCTCTGGCAGCAACTTGTAACTTAATTGGAGCATATTTATTAAATCTTGAACACTTTTTTGATCATATAAACTCACACATCAGTGCAGCTTGTTTAAAAAAAAAACACTTATAAGCAACCATCAATAACAATAAACTTATTTGTTGACCATTAATTTTTTCATCTGTACTTCTTCTGATAGTTTTGTCATTTTTCATTTCATATAAACTCGAATTTTCACCATAGAAGAACTATTTTTATGATTGCACTTTTTCTGACAGATAGAAAGATTGCCGCAATTTTCCGCCGTAACGACACTAGCGAACCTAGCGGATTTTTGCCCTAAGTACGACCGGTTTTGGTATGTTTTTTTCAGGGAGTTGAAACACCTTTATAGTGCGCCGTGATTCAAACTAATAATCAAATTATTAAGAACATATTACATATTCTATTCATTAAAATATCTACGCAATGTTATCGTTACTACAGTACTCTGGAAGCAGTGATGAGGATGGCGACACAAGCCTGAACACAGCGAAAAAATCAACAAGTGATCCCGAAACCAAAATTAACCCAAAATATTCTTTCAAATCACAGCTTGCAGTATGTGCTGCTCCAGAAGTAGTACCTACTGGTCTGGATGCTGATCAAATGCATATTAATTTGGACACAACAGAGTTATCATATAATCCCAAATTTGATGTATTATTTGCACCAATACTAGGCCCCGTAAATCCATTTAAGACTCAACAGCAATCAGTGGACAGAAATATGTTGTCGGGCCACATTGAGCAAGCTCATGTTAGTGAATTTCAATTTGAAAATCAAAGAAGAACATTTACTAGTTATGGTTATGCTCTAGATCCCTCTATAACAAATGATGGACAAATAAAAGTTGTTGGTTCTACAGAAGAGGGTAAGGATGTCGATAGTGTTAAAACTGTATTTGAAACCTCCAAAATAAGGCCATTAGATAAACGAAAACGAAAGAAAAATGATGATCCTGGTGATGTTGATGGTTTTTTGGGACCTTGGGGTGGTTTTGTAGATGAACAGAAGGTTGCCAAACCTACAGAAGAAGAACAAGCTGAGTTAGATGAAATAACATCCAAGAAAAATAAAAAGGGTAAGATTTTACAATTTGTTTATCTAACCTATATAATATTCAAATATTTTAGTATTACTTAATTTTATATACTTTCAATAGGTAAACCTAATGAAGACAAACCTATTGAAGAAAAATCAGTGCTGCACATTAAAGATGCAGTTGACTACCAAGGTCGGTCCTTTCTTCACGCTCCACAAGATGTTGGGGTCAATCTCAGGTCAGATTCTCCTCCAGAAAAGTGTTTTCTACCAAAATCCCATATTCATACCTGGACAGGTCATTCAAAAGGTATTGCTGCTATTCGTTTGTTTCCAAGAACTGGTCACCTCTTATTGTCTGCTGGAATGGATTGCCGCATTAAAATTTGGGAGGTTTATAATGAAAGGCGATGTATTAGAACTTATTATGGACATAGACAGGCTGTTAGAGATATTAATTTTAATAATTCTGGGAAACAGTTTCTTTCTGCTGGATATGATAGGTCAGTATATTATGAAATAATTTATTTGAATAAAGGGCGATTGTCTATTTTCAAAATTGGCCATCACAAGAACCATCAACGCTAGGACTGAAAGAAATAAAATTAGTTTAATAATTTAAAAAATAGATGTTTACTAGTTTTCACCTCTAAGACTATTATGAAGTCTAAACATAAAATTAAAAGATCCTAGTAGAGAAAAGAATAATAATTATTATATAAACCTTGAATACTATAATAACTCTTCTGTATTGATTATTAATCTTCTAATTGTATAAGGATGTATTATTAATTTATTATTCTTTTTTATTTTTGTGTTTATCAAAATTAATCTGATACAAATAAAAAGTATTTTGAGGTTTTGTTGCCCTGTATAACTTGCTTTATAAATGAGAGTAAAAAAAATGGCTTAAACGAATCTAAATTTTTCAATTAATATTTACAGATATATCAAATTATGGGACACAGAAACTGGCCAGGTTGTATCACGTTTTACAAGTAGAAAAATCCCTTATTGTGTTAAGTTTAATCCTGACAAAAATAAACAACATTTATTTGTCGCTGGTACTTCTGATAAGAAAATTATTTGCTGGGATACAAGATCTGGTGATATTGTACAAGAGTATGATAGGCATTTAGGAGCTGTGAATAGTATTACTTTTGTTGATGAAAATAGAAGGTTTGTGACGACCTCTGATGATAAGTCATTGAGAGTGTGGGAATGGGATATTCCTGTTGACATGAAGTATATTGCTGATCCAACTATGCACAGTATGCCTTCAGTTACACCTGCACCAAATGGTGAGTTTAATTTATTTATTTAACCGATCAACACTATTATAAAAATTAAATATAATTCATTGAGTACATAGTAGAAATAAACTAATATGATAAAGATTAAAATATTGCAATAATGTTTAACCACACCTTAAATTAATTTTAAAGGGTAAATTATAGAAAAACAAGATTTCTGGGTGAATTTCATTTTTAAAAAATGATAAATCGCCACAAAGGCACAACTAAGATCCAAAAATGACTAAAATTATGTATTGACATTTCAAAAGACCCCAGAGGAGGTCAAAATTCTAAGAAAACATTTCCCAATCTAATTTCGATTTAAAAAAAAAATTCAATTATATTTCAACGTTTGACCACCCCTTAAAATAATTATTATTAAAAATGTCGTCGGCACAAATGCAATACTGAGGTGTGGGCCTCAGTAGTTTGAAACTAATAAAAAACTAATTAGATTGATGTAAAGCCCACTATTTAATCTTCAGGCTAATGTAACTTTCATAAATATAAATTGCACTTTGAACCACTAAAAATATAAGAAACGTTTACCGCAAAACACATATGTTTATATTTTCGAGGAATAACTATTAAATAAAACATAAGTTTGTGCATACTTTGCAACTTCATTTTGCGAGTAGAACTGCTCTTTAAAATAAATTAATTTGACTTTTATTAAATTTTTTTAGGAAAATGGTTGGCCTGTCAAAGTATGGATAACAAAATAGTGATATTTTCGGCCATGAATAGGTTTAAAATAAACCGAAAAAAAACCTTCACAGGGCATATGGTTGCTGGTTATGCATGTTCTTTAGATTTTTCTCCTGATATGAGTTACATAACATCGGGAGATGCAGATGGTAAAGTGTACATATGGGACTGGAAATCAACTAAGCTGTTTAAAAAATGGAAGGCTCATGACAATGTCTGCATTGGTGTTTTGTGGCATCCTCATGAGCCCAGTAAATTGATATCTGCAGGATGGGACGGACTTATTAAGTATTGGGATTAATTAAAAATAATTAAGTTTCATTGTTTTGTATATAATTATGTAGGTAATATATCTTTTTTATGAACAATTATTGTATTATTATGTGTATATATGGTGGGCAAAAACATCCTTAGTAGGATTAACTAAGCTACTGCTTAGTCTCCAAATTCATATTTTTTTATAAAAATTGTTCAAACAAGAGTTGTTTGTAATATAATTTTCCATAATTTTTATCCTATACAAAATTTCTCTTAAATAGACCGTATTCGAGATATTTGAGAAAATGTGTAAATTACGAATTTTGAAGAAAACAAAAAAAAACGGATAAAGGAAAAAACATTAAATTTTAAACTTAAGTTTTATTTCGGCCTCCAATAAACTGATTAGATATTGGGCAGAGTCGGAACATCTGGAGGGGTACTTTATAGGTGGCCATTTTTATATTTTATGGAATATATGTTATTTACGTTTGGAGAAGAAAATTCTTCAAATAAAAGTTACTTACAATATTATTATCTATAATTTTTGTTCTGTACCAAATTTTCCTAAAATGGTCTGTATTCGAGAAATTTGAGAAAATGAAAAAAAAATATTTTTTTATAAAAATTGTTCAAACAAAATTTGTTTGTAATATAATTTTCTATAATTTTTATCCTATACAAAAATTCTCTAAAATGTACTATATTTGAGATATTTATGAAAACGTGTAAATTACGAATTTTGAAGAAAACTCAAAAACGGATAAAGGAAAAAATATTAAATTTTAAACTTAAGTTTTATTTAAGCCTGAGATAAAATGATTAGATTTTGGACAAAGTCGGAACATCTGGGGAGTACTTTATAGTAGGTCGTTATTATATTTTATTGAATATATCTGTTATTTATGTTTGGGGAAGAAAATTGTTCAAATAAAAGTTACTTCTAATATTATTATTATCTATAATTTTTGTTTTATGCCAATTTTTCCTGAAATGTTTCGAGTTAGATCCTAGACAACACACCTAATGCCAGAGATATCCACAGAATATCTTTTGTGGATATCCAATATATTCACAGGATATCTGAAATATTCCGTGGATCTAATATGGATATCCAAATGTCCGTCTATATCCAGAATATAGAAAATATCCTATGGATATCTAGCAAAAATATCTAATGGGTATCTTCCAGACAATACAAGAAATCCCAAAGATATCCACAGAATATATTTTGCGGATATCCAATATATCCAGTGGATCTAATATGGATATCCAAATGTCCGTCTATACCCTAGGATATAGAAGATATTCGGATATTCAGCAAAATATTTTATGGGTATCTTTGGTAGAGGTTCATAAGTAACCAATGAATTATTGAATAACGTCCAAAGAAAATAGAGATAAAAAATTCAAACCCGTTTTACACCCATAAAAAAATATGTTTTCAAAAATAATAACAAAGAAATCAATAATTTTACTGATTTACCCCTTTAAATTTCACTTTAATATAATATGTGATCAAATACAGGGATAATCTTTAATAAATTTAAATTTAAAGCTAAATTTATATATTATTAGATGGTGTAAATCTGGCTTTGAAAATAAATTAGGTTATGTTGCTATAAATATGTCAGCAATTGTCAGCCTGATATTATTTTCATTTTGAAATGCAGGTGAAATTTTTTTCATATGTAGGTGAGTAAATTGTATTAATTAAGTGTAAGTTAGATTTAACTAATTTAACTATAGGGAGGTTCTTAAGAAAATCATTAACTTCTGATTCATTTAAATTTTTAGTATTTTTCTCACAAAACTAACAAGAAATTTTATGTTTTTCTTGCTATTATTACTCTAGAGATAAATAGATCCACATTTTAAACATTTGTGGTCAAACAAAATGAAAGGAGTTGTGAGCGAAATGTGTGAAGCCAATTTACAAACAAATATTGTAGAACCCGAGATAGAACCTCATCCTAGTTTTACTCATGAAGACCATGATGAAAAAAGGCCAATGATTTGTGCTCAAAAAATAATTGTTCAATTTTTGGGTGATATTCATTATTATATTTATCAAATAATACCCAAATATGTTCAAAAACTTATGTGCTATTTAGGTAAACTTGTTAATTTTTGCATAATTCACCTATTAAGATCATAAATCAGATGTTTTTTATTTTTATTGAAATTTTTATACCTTTTATTGCAAGAAAAATGTAAGAATTTAAAAAAGTTATGACTCCTGTTAATTTTTAATTTTAAGATACACACTGCACCTTTATTTTTGTTTTGTTTTAGATATTCCTCAGTATGAAGATTTTTGGAATGTACATAAATGTGTTTCTTAATTAGGGTGAGTTTCAAAGCCCACCTGTATTGAAGCTGGAGGCTTATTGTACCCGAAATAGGCATTACAAGTATTCTAGATTGAAAAAGATGGGAAAAGGCCTTAAAGGGACAATAAGTATAAGAATATTAGAATTAGAATGATTTGTCCTTGGATTAATAAGGGATATTTAAAACATTAAAACAATTGTGTTTATAAATTAACTACTTTGACTTTTTATAAAAACAATATCCGGTTTTTTTAATAATAAAAACATTGTCATGTGCTATGCTGGTTATCATATTATATTTTTATTTTTCAGTAATTTAGTGTGTGATATAGTGCTTGTTATGTTCAAAATATGCAGTTAAAAGATAATGAAACACATGTAATTACATGGTAATTCTAAATAAATTAAACTTGTTAAAAATGTGTTTTATTTTTCAACTAATTTTATTTTTCAGTTAAAACAAGTGACATTTTCCATTTTTCAACATTTACCTACAACAAAAATTCACTAAACTTATTGTTTGTTTAGTAGTTGTAAGTAAAAGTTGTCGAATAGGAAAATGTTACTTCAAATTGCTTCAAATATCTAAATTATCAAGCCCGCCAATTTTTAAATCGCTTTAATTAGTAGTGTTCTACTTTATCGACTGAAACTGACAGGTGTAGTTCAACCGTAAGCGCTTAGCGCGCTACTGTCGAGGTCAAGCAAACTTGTTACCAACTATTTACATGGAATCCGACCCCGTGTGGATACCCGCCATGGTTTGCGTTCGCGCCTAGACTTTGATATATTCAGTGGATGTCCATGGGATATTGAATACACCTTAAAAAATTAATTTTAAATATCTGAACGGTACTATTAGAAACATCGTAATTATGTATAGGTATTCTATTTTCTTTTTAAATATTATTTTGATATAACAATAAATTACTGCAATCGCCAGAAATCTACAATAATATCAAACCCCAATATTAAATTTAAACATTTTGAACAATATTTTTATATCACAAGATAATTGCTACTGGTCAAATTTATCTTTTTACTTCCTTTAAAAAAGAGTGCAAAACAAATACGACAGAGATGAATATACCCTTCCTTCTGACTCACTAGGAGAGTTCGGTTAATTCTCCGCGAGCTAAAAATACACTATTGACAGAAGCCCTCGTGATGGAATCTATTTCTTTGCATTGAAAGTGTAGCACTGAGCTATAGTACATATGAAAATATCGTTCCATTTAAACAAATTGTATAGATGGAATGATATTTTCGTTGAAAAGGAATAGACCTAATATTTGTTTTGCTCGCGGAGTATTAACCGAACACGTCTACTGTAGCCAATGACAATATTGATAATAAAGTTTGGAAAAGTTTAAAAGTAATAAACATCTTGTCTATAAACTTTTAAATAAACTAAAAGTGATGGGTCTGTCGAGGGATCCTGCGATGCGAATTTTACAAAAAAAAATTTAAACACTCCAAAGTAACTAGTTTCTATAGTAAATTTTTTTAAAAAAAATCCTGTAAAACCCAGTATTTTTCTAAAAAAATCTAATTAAAAACCTCAATTTTATATTCACAAAACATCTACTCTAGATGAAAGATTGGACCATAGATTACTAATGTGAATAGATGGGAAACTCAATGGTAAAATTCTGAGTCGATGTACTGCCATCTATCAAATTGGATTGGTACTAAAATTCAATATGGCCGCCACTGGCGGGCTTTTTGAAATTTAACTTTGTAGTAGCGCAAAAATGTAATGAAGAAAATAAAATAAAGCAAAAAAATTGAAAAAATATTTGACTAGTTTTAAATCATAAAACAACCATATTGACTGTTTTTGATTTGAAACTAGTAAAATATTTTGCCAATTTATATCTTTATTTGATTTTACTTCATTATATTTTTGCATTAATTTCAAACTTGAAATAAAATGCAATTTATTTTATTTTTTTTATTACAGTAAATTAACGCCGCATCATATAATTTGTCTATTTAAACATGGAAATACTCAAACAAATATGCATTTACACCATTTAAATAATTAAATATTTATAAAACAAACCTATCAAACATGTTTTCTGTAACAAAATCAGCATATATATATATATATATATATATATATATATATATATATATATATATATAAGTGCTCAAGACCTTTATAAAAGTTTTGCGACTTGGAGTGGCAAATAAGTTTGAAAAAATTGAAGTTGAAGCATCATCCTTTTTTACTATCGAGGCAAATTTGAGTGTGGATAAAATTTGCCATACGGTTATTGAGTCGACTAGTTAGGTTGAGGAGTATTTCTTCATCCGATAATTGTTTTCTTGATTCATTTATACAGCACTTGTAGTTATCAAATTTTTATTCATCATGTGGGCACTGTGATAAATGAATTTAACTTTTGAGCCTAAATTAAACTTACACACGTTTGGAACCTTGAAGATTTTAGGGTGTTTTCTTGTTTGATGTCAATGGCATTGAATCAATTTTTGATATTGATGGCTGAGGCTCAAATATTTCATCGATCGACAGGGTATTTTGGAGGGCCAACATTTTCTTTACAAAAATGATCATTTAAAAACTGAAAACAAAAAGAAATTTAAATAACAAACCAATTATTTTAACACTGAATCAAATAAAAGTTTGTAAATATTACTTACCGTTGGTACAGTGATGGTGCATTTTTCTTAAGACACTTATTACAATTTGGG